TAATTTTAAACGATATTAAGCTGTCACAAACAGACAATTGGTGTCCAAAGTCCAAACTATAAACCCTAAGAAAATTAAATAACTACATAAGCATTTTATTTCATTCCTATAGTTACATTTTAGAGGTACAATGATACATAATTGGTAATAATTTAACAATGCAAGAGTTCGATTGTAAATAATATCATTTTACAATTTCATTAGTAATTAATTTAATTATATCCAAGAATTCTAACATGCAGTGTTAGAATTGTTGGCCCTGTATAGCCTCCGGTAAAGGCCTCTTCAAGGTTAGACCACTTTTCTCTATTTCGAGCTTCCTTCTTCCAGCTCTCGCCAGCGAGTATCGTCCGCCCAGCGTTTGACCGGGTGGCCCACACGTCGTTTGCCAGTGCTGGGGCCTCACCACTTGGTTTATTATCTTTGTCCGTTTTCTATCCTCAAAACGAGACAGGTGACCCGTCTATTTCCATTATAGTTTTCTTACGTGGTTTATTGCGTCTGTGACGTGTGTTCGTTTCTTCGCCGATCTTTCTCTCCAACTCTTCCTCGTCTATCTCTAAATGATAGCTGGTTACCCAGGTATATGTAGACATCGACGAACACATTTTCGCCATCGCAAAGGACACACCAGGCGTCGGGGATCGCTGGACAATCTCCGGTCACCGTAAGCGCGGGCCTACTGTTGGAATAGGTCCCTACTGTTGGTTATTATATTTGGTTTTTTCAAAGTAATTTCCAATCCAACTTTGATGCTTATTAATTGTAGAGTTGTTAGCATGTCACTAAGTTCTTCAGCGGCGTTAGCTAGTAATGCAGTGTCGTCCGCGAAACGTAGATCACTCAGGTACCTACTTCTAGTATTTCAGCTACTAAGAAAATTAGGATAGACAGGATAGATAATTACGGCAAGGATCGGAATGTTAGTTATTCGACTGAAAACTTGTGAAAAATCTTTATTTAGTTAGACCAGATAATTTATAGTAGGGGAGCCCATGATGCTAAATTGGGATTTACTTGAGCGTCCTTGGACCTACTGGATTTTGAAGATATGCTGATAGAAAGAAGAAATGGTTTAGTGACAATTTCTTCCACCAGTGGGGGAAGGGGGAATCTACAGATCTTTGAAATTGTTAAGCGTAACTTTTGTTCTAGTGGTCGAGCGTGTCAGATATTGATAATGTACATGCTCCATGTGTATTTAATAATAAAAAACTCTTAATCTGCCATTTTGCATGGTGGGGTTGAATGTTCTGGAGAGTACAAACGAGAACCCTTCAAAATCCCCCCACTCTTGCAAATCAAGTTGGAATGGGCAGATTTTTTAAACGCACTTCCTTTAGCACGGCATTGACCTACCTTCCCTTAATCTGACGAAACTGACTTTATTTAGTCAGACTTTTTTTTTAATTTTCAGTCCCCCCCTTCTAATCAGATCGGATATATGTTGGGTATATTCAACATGACACTAGGTTTTCCCCATATGTTAATATGACGCGCTCGAGTAACTGCCGAAATCCCATCATGGGCTCCCCTACTATTATGTCAAAACCTACTTATTACGACAAGGAACCTTTATAGTGTTAGGTTCGCTGTCATTGTCATATAAAACGGGGTCAAGCAATAGCCTAGTCTGAAAAAGGACAAGCATGACAATGAGGGCTTCATTAAGGTAGAAAGGAAGAAGAAGCCTCTTTGCCGCAACCGCTGGCAGGACCCAACATGCTGCTGTGTCCAGCGACACCCACAACGCTGCTGTACGTGTCCCGACTGCATCACTCCACGAAGGCAGAGGATGTCGTGGAGTATTTGCGAGTGAAGACGAACTGGACCTTGAGAGTCGAGAAGTTGGAGTCGCGCCACAATACTAACTTCAAATCGTTCGTGGTGCGGGTTCCAACACTAATGTGTGAAACTGTTCCTTGAGAAAGGTTTCAAGGTAATCCTTGAAACCTTTCTCAAGGAACAGTTTTGGCCGAAGGGTATCGTGTATCGGCGTTTCCGTGGCCGGCTACGTGATACCAGTCAGCGAAACACGACGCCGTCTCTTCGTGTGCAATAATTATAATTATGAGTTTTGTTATTGTAGGTATATCTATTAGTTTATTGATTAAGTAAAAACGCGGGTTACTCACGTGAATATACTGAGAAAAGCTCTACTAGTTTCGAACCACAGAGGGGTTCTTCCTCATGAGCAGCGTGCGCGGTCGCGGCGACGTCGCGCAGCTCACGACGTGAGTAACCCGCGTTTTTACTTAATTTAGTATGTCTCACGATAGTTATTATAAAAAACATAGTTTATTGATGTTTTAATTTTTTGGTATTTGTTATTTTTAGTTTTGTATTGTATTTTTATTTGTGTATTATGTTTAACTCGTCGAGTACCGGTTTTGCAGACACAATTATAGAACAATAGGTTGCGGTCACCGGTGACCGCTTGGTGTTTGACAGTTTAATATGGACCACAGTTGCCTGAAATAAAGAAATAAATAAAATTGCAGCGGTAAGTTTCTTTGAGGAGTGGCTTGAGAGCTGCTACGGCTTCCTTATTGACGGCCGCCTGACACTGAACAATAACACTACTACTATGTTAAACTTTATTAAAAAGCTGAGAAATCGTACATATTTTGTCAAACATATACAGAACATCCCTCGTTGAATTAAAAAAAATATCTTGCTAAAAACAAAAACTTATCACTTTATTTCAGTTTTAATAATCCTTCATCTCCTATGCCTCTATTGGTTTACTTGTAGTTTTATGATTTAAAAAAATAAAGCGATCTGTAAGAAATATGAAGAAGAAATAAGAACAAAATTGAGACCTCAAACTCAAAAGCATTTATTTCAATTAAACCATAATTTGGTACTTTTGAAACGTCAACAAATATGAAATATAACCACAACACACAAAAAAAAATCTATTATAAAATGAAAACTGCGTTTAAATAAACTGATTTAAATAAATCCAAAACTATAAACTAATAAAAAGTAAAAACAAACAAAAAATAAAATCTAAAAAGCAAAAAATTACTATGATAGGTTACCCACCCACTGATAGTTCCAAACAAAATTATTTATCAAACCCTTAATAGAGATAGTTACCTAATATTAAGCTGTTTACAATTTATGACGAAATCGTTGCCAAAAGCTCATAATATGACGTCTACTTCTAACCTATGTGGGTGGGTAACCTATCAGTACTAATAATGCTTTTTTTAATTCGGTGTTTTTAAAAGTCGGTTTTGTAAACGCACTTTTTATTTTTTTTATTTTATCATTTTCATCTTGACCTGATGAAATTGGAACCTTCTCGGGAGTATAACCCTTCAAACAAAACAGAATTTTGGAAATCGCTTTATAAATGGCGGAGTAATCGGTGAACAAAGAAAAAAAATAAACATCCGAACATAGTACTTCCTCCTTGTTTGAAGTCGGTAAAAAGTTCTTTATAAAACCTACATTCATAGGCCGATATCGTAAAAACAGTTAAGTTTGGGATATGTCTGGGGTTCCCTAGTCAAATTGGTCAGGAATGATGGATACTACCATCTCTTAAAGGATTTAGGTTTGATTTACCGTGACCCTGCATAAATTGCCAAATGTATCTACATTTCACATGTGATGGATACTTTCAAAATTTAGCACCATTTACTGTGCTTTACTGCTCCTAATGATCCAGAACTTACAATTTTGCTTTGGACACGTCCTAATGGCCGATATTTATAGGCGTAAACGAAAAGGCGTATAATTAGGATTATTCCGAACCTGACCCGCAAACCTGACCCGGTGGTGGGTTAGATTAGGAATTTGAAAAAATAATTGATATTTATTCCGAACGTAACCCTATTCCTAACCTGACCCGACGTATCGTTCCTATCATTACCCGAATTGCGAAGTAGGTAGGTTTTCCTCTCCCCGGGTCAGGTTTGCGGGTTAGGTTCGGAATAATCGTATAATTATGCAGACTTAACGACAATGTTAAAAATCCCAGGCTTGGCGCAAACGGAAAAGGTAGTAAAGTAAAAATGTGAAATCGTGGCATTATCAAAATGGCAAAATATTATAAATGGTATTTCTTTGCTGGCAGGAATTGTTTTGTATTTCTGTTATTTGTAAATTTTTGTTTAGCTGTGTGGAACTACCTATATAAAATTACATTAATTTCTTTGATTATTTATCATACGCACCACTATAACGCTTTGACGTATGACTAATAGCTAGAGTGAACTCTCACTCTAGCTATTAGTCATACTGAACATTCACATACAAACACCAGCACAGTGACTCCACTGTGCAATGGTTTTGGAATCATCAGTACCTACAGGTATTCCCTACACTATATACGTAAACATACAGATATAGTCGGATATCGAAACTGAAGACGCTTTATTTATCATTGTTTATAGGATAAAAATATTGAGTTATTTGAAAGTTACTTTTTAAGTACATACTTAGGATACCTATCACTAAAATAATGCATCTACTAAAAAGAAATATACAAGGTAATGTACGATTCTAATTTTATGGGTGCTATTTATCCACAGACCTATTTATTGCTGTCTGGTGTCAAATCAACTCGGAGTCGGTTTATTATAAATCGTTATATCCGAAATAAAATTATGCTTAAGTCAGCATATTTGATTTAATTACCTACCTATTGATTTAAATACTGTAGATACGTACTGGCTACATCACGTCGTCTGCAAAGAGAGACCCTACCTTTCCTAAATGAAATTGAGTGTGGTTACTCATGTTTTTAGGCACGTTAATGACCAGCTTTTCAAAAACTGGGTGTCAGACTTGTAATGTCAGAATAAAAGACAAGTCTAGGTAGGAGTAAGTTCAAATTTAAGTACACGAAATAGGTTATCGAATACCTACTTCATTATTTTTATTGAAATGTAGAGCCAAAGAGCTAAATAAAAAGACAAAACTGGAAGCACAGTTACTGTGCTGGAAAGGAGAGGGATAATTTAGCGAGTGAATAAAAAGTGATTTACTAAATTTAATAAATTTTATTGTCATATGTAGGTAATTACCTAAATTACTATGAAACATCAATTTTTAACTACATTTGCTAAAAATTAGTATTTGCAGTTGTATTACTCGAGTGGTTGTCACTTACGTTTTTCACTTTTATATAATGTATCTAATTAAAACAAATTTCACTGCAAGATGACGCCCTGCCACATTCATAATAATTACTGTATTTATTATTAACATTATTGAGTATTATTTACATGTGTACAGTCTTTTTAATTTACCTTAAAGAGATCACTTCTTAACATTGAAGCCTTCTCCCGTAGGATCTAGGATCCACGGGTAGTTGTTAGGACATTCCATGCAAGTGAAAAGACGTAGTGTCTCCCCTGGTAACTCTCGAGTTGTTAAGGGGCATGCATTTGGTAAGGAGCAGAAAGGTTGACCTTTCACATCACATTTGTCTTGCTTCCACTCTTGGAAATCTCTGAGTGACGTCAATTCTGTAGGGTTTTGCATCCACTGGATAACTTGAATAAGAGAAGTGAAGTAGACATCGTTCTTCTCCAACATCTCTTCGATGAATTTAATAAGCTCGTCTCTGAACTCCTTTTTAGATTTCAGCCATGAAGCATGGAAGTGGAAACCAAGAGGGGCACGGTTGGTACTGTAGTGGCGGTTGAAGTTGTGGCGCAGGAGACGTGCGAATTGCTCTCCGGTTTGAATGTTGGAGCAAGAGTCAACCACATGACAACCAGGAAGCGATTCATCGAAAGTTGGGTCATCTCGTCTGTCCAATTCATTCATTACCATTTCCCAAACGGGGTGGCTTCTGGATGGGCAGTTGTGTGCGTTACCGTTGCATTTATGGGGCATGCGGAAGTATAACGTGTAGGGCCAGATAGGAACACGTCCAAGAGGAGCAGTAATAGAGGCATCGTAAACGAAGTATTGATCAGCCATCATTTCGAATTGCTTGTTTCCTCCAACACGTAGATAAGGTGCGCGGACACCAATGATTGACGAGTCAGTAATATTAGCAAATCGTTCAATGATCAAACGAGCGCCAGCCATTTCTGCCAACCAGTCATCGTAGCTTCCGCTGCTCCAGTATTGAGGGTCATCCTTGTGAGTTATGGAAAACACGGAAATTTCGTGACCTTTACGGTGCAATTCTTGCACAGCAGCATAGTTGGTATATTTGTGAGATACGAAGAATGTACCACGAATCTGGCATCCATTGGGATTATGACGGTTTCCGTTGAAAATTTGTTCATACAAGTCAATGTTGTCAACATTTACGGCACCGTTGAAGGTTATTGTTATCATTTGAGGCACTTGGTTGACCTCAATACCTCCAGGAATACGAGTTCCGTCTGCGGAGCAGAAACAGTCTGGCAGTGCGCACTGGTTGGGATCACAGTCCGGAGCACGGTTGGGATCTAGGTCGACAGCTGAAAAAAAAAGTATAAAATATGTATTTCAAGTGTATTGAAGTGTCTTTTCAAATTTTTCCTATGGATTGTGTTTGGTTATCTATTCTACATCTTAAATAATAGGCATACTTACTACAAGCATTTTCGTCAGACTCATCCTTGCAGTCATATTTGTTATTACAGAACAGTTCCTTTTCAATACAGTCACCACTTCCACAAGCTAATTTTCCTTCAGGACAGATTGGCTCATCCGTTTTCAGGATAGGCAACACTTTCCTTGGTTCTGTAAAATAGAATACATCGTTATACTTGCAATATAACCCTTTTTACTGGGACGAAGTCGAAATGTTCGGCTTACACACGTACGCAGGTGCCTCTCATATATTTGCTTCGTATGTGTTTTTATTGTAGTAGTGTAATTCAATAAGAAAATAGAAGAAAGTCAAGCATGACACGATGATCAAGTTAACAGAAGATAAAAAGTAAGAAATAGGATAGCTAATAAATAAGAAGGTATTCTTTGACGATTTAATTTTTATTTGGTTATGAAATAGTTACATATTGATTAGATGAAACTGTAGAGGTAAAAGACGAATTATTGGTATCGTATTATGATTTCAGAATGTTATGATGTAATAAGAAGAATTTTACGTCGTGAATGAAACCATCGGGTATTGAGCGATGACTTTGCCTTCCAATACCAACATTTATTAAAGTAAGATATTAGAGCAAACAGACTTGCATTCAAATATATATTTTAATTGACTTTGCATTTATTCTAGCATTAAAATTCCATGAATATTGTATTTCGTACAAAATTGGCATCAATTAAGCTGTCAACTTGATAAAATATTAATATTTGAATGCAACGTCTATTATACGCCCTCGAAATGAAATAAAATAATTTAAATTAAATAAAAAGTTTTAGGAATGCCTTATTTTAATAGCAATATTGTTTAGTTATGTTAAAGCAGGTTGGTGTATAATACATATTTTAACTAACATAGTTGGTGAACACTAAATAATGGTTAGTATCTAAGTTCCCTCCACGAAAAATAGTAGGTACAATGTATTTAACTTCTGTTATTATCATGGTAATGAAGCTAAAGCTATAAGTTAGCAGGTAGTGAAAGATTGCAGAGTAAGTAGAACTGTTTTGTGTAGAAGGAGTCGTGATAAAACAAAACTTAGTAAGAACTGAGATATATGTTTGTGTAATTTTCAAAATTACTAACAAGTGAACGAAATCGGTGCATTGCATGTATTATATTTGTCAATAAATCTGTTGCAATTGTGGGATAGTTTTGAAATTATCTGCATAATTAATTTATTTAAAGGCTTTTTTAACGAATGCAGGTGAATATGTATTGTGTGTGTGTTTGGGTTATATGCAACATACCCATATAAGTATGTATTGTACAGTATAAATTAATAGTGTGTGTTCAGTGTACCTAATTGTTGCTGTGGAAATAATGTTAATGCGTAATATTCGGTTCGGTCCACGCGGGCCGCTCCCTCTGTCCGGGGCCTCATGCAATACACCTTAACTACAGTGCGGCCCCTTCACCCAAGCCTAGTTTGCTCGCTACGCGCCAATAGCTTCTTTTCGGCACTTACTCTCAAGTTTGTCACAGTTGGTCACTTTACCCTTCCAGTCGCAGGTTTGTTTATCAAGATCGAATGCCAGTCCAGACGGGCAAGTGATTTGTTTAAGACCTGACCTAGTGCACCTGCGTTGACAAGAAATGTGACATTTAATTAAATGAATAGTAGCAGGAAGTGGGCATTCGGAAGGCTAACGTACACCGGCTTGCGACACTGAACCGGGTCCATAAAGGAAGTTTAGCCCTCCGTACGACCACTTCCGCCATTCAACGGAACTTACTTTCTATTTTGTCGCAATTCTTAACATGTGTTTTCCAATCACAAGTTTGACGGTCGATATCGAAGGCGAGACCGCCAGGGCAGCGCACTGAGGCGAGCCGAGTCACGCCGTTCTCACCGCCTTTGTCGCACCTGTACACAGCAATACTCTTAGCAAATGGCAAAATGCTAGATCTTTACAACTTGGAATAGAAATCTATGCGAATACGGTAAGACAATTACAATAGTTCTGGTGCCTATATAGATTGATGATTAGCTTTATATTCAAAATAAAACTATATTAACACATAAAAAAAGTACTAGCTATTCTCGAGCGGTTTTATCCGCTACTCGGCTCCTTTGGTTCGTGGCGTCATGTTTTATAGCCTATAGGCTATAAAATATAGGCCTATAGGCTAAGCTATAGCTTATATTCCTCGAATCAAGCCTATTCGATAAACGAATTGTCCAACACTATGAAAATATCCAATTAGAACCTGTAGTTCCAGAGATTAGCGCGTTCAAACAAACAAAATTTTTAGCTTATAAATTAGTATTAGTATAGATAGGTAAAAAAGTCATCATATCCATTTTATATTTATAAATGTACTTATATTTATAAATATATAATTGATATGATGACATGATGTACTTAAAGAAGTAGCCAATTATTGACATTATTATTGTACTTTAGTTCGTAAACCGAGACAAAGACTTTCAAAGTTATTTAATTTTTAAGCGTGAGCTTTAGTGTACAAGTTCACCATTCACTCTAATATTCACGGCACGAGGGTGACCGTTCTGTACACAGACTGGAATATCAAGTCATTACCTTGCTGCATACTAAACAGTGTCCATAAATATATCAAACGACAAACAACGGTCCTTGGCTCTATGCTTAACAACAAATTTTTTGGAATGGAAAGAACTTTAGACTAGCGCTGCATACAAACCGGTACTGCAAATGTGGTGTGGCGTGCTAACTTTCTGTTGGAAGTCATTTATTAGATCAGTATTAAGTGCAAGATATACCCATAAAGTCAACCTTGCTAGCTTTCATTACGAGTGACTGATTCGTGAAACTGGTTTGTTTACTAACCAGTTTTCTCTAGACTCTGATAGAAACATGACAAACTTATGACGACAGAATAACATTGCAACTCGGTCATATTTCGAAACCTACTATCACAACATTCACAATGTGGGTATATTCAGTAGTTACAACAAACGAAATATGCTAAGACGTAGTTGTGCAAAACCTACCTGACTACATCGCGGCAGTCTCCTTCGGTGGTGAGACGGAAATACTCGTCAGCCGGGCGACCATCGCACAACTGTTCTGCGTTGACCTCATCTCCTCCGTCCTCCTCCTGCCGCTTAACTCGCGATTCGCCGGTCACTGCAGCAAATGTTATATTTTTATATGGGTTTCTATAATCACCTCCTCTTAGTTACATAACATTTTGAACCAGAAGGAGTGAATCGATTCCACAGCCTTAACGTGTTCATTAGGTAACACCACTTAACGTAAGCTGCTATTACAACACAGCGGGGAAGGAATGTTGTAGCTGCAGTTTCATTGCAGTACCGAACATGTAGCTAGATAGACATGTACATGCCGCGCTCATTAATTGCAATACCTGGGCGTAAGAACGGTTTTTACATAAACTTTTAATGCGCTATTGGTATTTTTTACATGATTGTATATGTGCAATTAAAATTATGAATGTAATGAATGTTTGTGCAATGTCCTATGATTAGAAAGATCTTGTCTCAGACACAAGTTTTTTTTTGTATTTCTTAATCAAATGCCACGATATTTTTGAAGTTATTCTAAGTTTATAATATTCTGAGTTAACTGCAGCTCTACTTCAAGTCGGCATTGAAAGTTGAAACGTTGAAAAGAAATCGAGGTCAAGCGAAGTAAACGAGCCACGTCGGTAGCCGGTGTTCTTTCTTTGTTACTATAATCGAACTTTAAGTTATGTAAACGTAAGTTTTGAGTTGGTGAAAAGTTTAACAAAATGAATTTAATATGTCAAATCACAATCATATCAAAAATAAAACCTTGCCTGTAAGTAAATTCTATACTCAGATGAAATAATATTAAAAAAAATTAAGTATAGTATTAAAACGAATATTAAATTTATTTGGGGTACACATTCCCTATCAATTAATTGATATATTATGATTATCAACACCTAAGCTTTCAAAATAATATAATTATTAGGTTATACATGTAAAAAAAATATGTACAAGTTATGTAACACTAAACTAAATGTCAATATGGTATAAACCTGTATGCAATACTACCGGCACTTTTAATAATAAATTTAAACGTTAAACAAAACATAATAAAAATTAAATTTAAAAAAATGTGCAAAAGAACTGCATTAAATTTATCTATGTATCGTTTTTAATGGGATAGTAATATTTTTAATTTTATCCTGTAAAATTTTAGCACCCTGTTATAGGCATTATAAAATGTATAAAACTTACCGAGACAGCTGAGCAACAACACACCAAGACACAGACACGCGTGTCGAGCCATGATGCTCGGCGAGGACTGGTCGCTGCGACGTTCGCCGTCAAGAAAGTGCAAGAGGTCTCGCGTTGCCCCTCTTCACCTATTTGTATTTATATAACCTGGCACCGCACTCTCGGCACCCAGCAAGCTCAGACACATCAGCCGTCCTATAGGTACTACACCTCTGGACGATATAAACTACTGTACTAAAATCACAGCTATTAATAACCATTCGATGCCGGCTGGGAACAACATGAATGATAATTATGCTATTGCTAATGATTTTGGTAAATCACCTTCAGAAACTTTCTTTTGCAGTATGCGTTGCATTTACATCTATTATCGGATACATCAGCGTGCTTATATTTTAACGTCAGGATGTGACATTGGATGATTTCAGGTAGGTATTTATTGCCTAACAATCTTTTCAGACACGTGTTCAACGACAATGATTTCCAAAATTATTTTTTTTACACATGTATATCAAAGTTTAAACCTACATATAAATAAATATATCACCGTCGTCTTGATATAAGCTTAGGTACCTACAAGAAACTTCAACACAGGAAGTTGTAGTCATGGCGAATGCAATTAGACAGGCGGAAGATCAACTGATTGAATTGTGCATTTACGTTCCTTCACCAAATTATACAATACGTGAGTGGTGTTTAGGCGTTATTATATTTTTTCTTGTGTTTGTACTTTTACACATATACATATATTTTAAAATCCTTCTTCATTCTTGATTTCAATTGAAAATTTTCCACAATTTCTTTCATGTCGTGCATACGAAAGCTTCGCTATTGCTAATGTTAATGCTTTGATGTATATATATATATAATACGAATCTTGATATTGCATACAATATTTCCGTTTCCATTTATAGGGAAATAAAAGTTAACCAGGTCACCTTTAGCATTATCAGGGTTGGGTATCGATTTAAGTATATAAATAATTAATTAATTTTCATCAATGACACTGTTTTCCAACATTCACTGATGTCGTGTGTAGGTACTAGAGAAAGTAACATTATTTAAAATCTTTAAATTAATAGAAAACCGGTTGACATGTCAGTTTTTGTAAACAATTTTTGTGTAAAAATGTAAAAATTATAGGGCAATGTTGAGAATGTATAGAATTAGAATGTGTGTAAGTAAATTTTCTTTCTTTCTGTGGATGTTTGTGTTTAAAGTTTTACATAATGTCTCGCTTAGTGACCAATTCTCTTAATTTATCCGGATTAAATAACACTTATGTATGTGTTAATATAATGTGTAAATTATACCATTACTTTTAAATGATAATCACGACTGGCGTTAGTTAGGCGGGTGGGTATAACGGGGCCCCTGACAACATCACCAACTTGTTTTACAAGTATTCTAGGTACACATATAAGCAAATATGTGCTGTTAGATATGTCCACGATATATCCACTTATTTTTACAATTCTTAGAACTTACTCTATGAGTTTTTTCTTTGATTTTTACAAATGAAATTCATTGTTACGTAAAATTAATAATAACATGAAATGAATATGCTGCATGCATTAATTATTTATATAAAATTTAAAATTACGTATTCCGTTGATGAAATCAAAATCTAGTTGGTAGTCTACATTTTTACGAAACCAACACTCATCTACAAGACGAAATCAATTGTTTTTTTTTACATAGGTAATGGTTAATTTATTAGATACATTATTGTTTTGATGACAAATAGGTAAATAGGTAGCAACGTATGGTTTTAGTTTAGTTTGACTATCATATTTATGTTAACATTTTAAATATATATGTATATATTACAATGATAATTATTAACGAGAACTTGGGAGTCAAGTAAAAAAAATAATAATATATCATTTAACAGTATATTGGACCGTTGACGTTGTCCCGGTGCCATGTTCTGAGTGAAACTACCCAAGTTAGTAAGCTCCCGTCTATATTGCTGATAAGTTAAGACTGTTAGGATGACCAACTCTCGGGCAACTTGCAAGTACTACATATAATCTTGTATTATCTATCATTTAATTTTTTTTACCATACATTCATAACTTCATGCCTATGTCCCACAGGGGCAGGCAGAGACTATGGAATGCTATGATTGCTATGATTTTTACATACCTCTTACGCTGCATCAACATTCATCAGTCTTTTCATACATTTGTTTAACAGAATTTTATCAGAGATGTCTTCACACATCTATATGTGTATTTTTACATACATATGCGTGTATATGTATATTGTGTATCTACTCAATATAGCATTACTCAATCGTAGTAGGTAGGTGTATATTATATTTGTATTAATAGAATCGACTAGACCTTCAAAGATGAATCGATTTCATTTAATAAAATTATTATAATCATTGTATAGTATTAAGTTCCTTTTTTGCATACTTGTTAAGTGAGACTCACTTTCGATTATCGACGGAACCTGTTTTATATAAATTTATGTCAATGTCAAATAAAGGTGGAAAGAAGATCCCAATATATAGGTAATAAGTATATGTAATATAGCAGGTATGGTAATGCGTCAGGTTGGGACCGGCCTGTGATGTTAGGATAATAAAAAAATCCCAACTCTGTCAGTGGCCTTAATTGTAGTTTCGAGTTAAAGTTTTATTTGGGCACACTTGTGAATAGGTGTCACATAAAAAGTAAAATATGCACAACGGTATCTCTTTCAAAATGTCTACATAATTATGTAAAAGTAAATCTGAAAATGTCAATATATTCAGAGGTCGTGTCTATTTTAATATACCTACATAATAAGAAGATATATCTGTCAAAAGTCAAGGGCATTGAATTACTTGGCATCATTTGGAAAATGGAATTTTAAGTAACTATAACATTAAGTTTGTAGCCGAAGTAGTCAGTCAGTAGCTGTACTATATGTTTATATATACAAGTATAAATAATTGCGTTAAATGCATGATGTGCCGGCTGTGGGTACGCTTCGCTGAATAGTAATATCAGTAATATTATGCTATAATGTTATAAGTTTTATTTCATGCAAGTAAATGAATATGTTCGATATCTAAGAAGACGTTCTATTTGTGGTCATGTTGAAGGCAGCCTATACTATAATGTTAGCCTTTTTTTGTTCCATTTACGAGAATGTGTTTACAGAATTAGTCGAATAACGTCATCGGATTATAAAAAATACTAACAATGAAATCAGTTGTACTTCCCTAATGTATTGGGGTACTTATTTCTTAGAAGGTAAAACGATATGATGTAGCCAAGTTGATTGTATTAGGTTCACATAATTATCTTCATCTTTAGTAAATGCTTAGGATGACGTAGAACTCATACATAGGATCTTCTCAGTAAATTCCTTAAATTAAGTTTGTAGGTAATTTAAGTGCATTATTTTGTAAGCAACTGTAGCCTGTCTAATTAAAATTGCAGATTTTTAAACATGGTAGCTTGTGGACGGACTTACTATTGTGCTCTATATTGAAGTACTTACAAATTAGAATCGCGTGTTGATTTAGTGGCGTATTCTCTGTCCGATCAGTATGTACTTACTGTTATTCTACACCTACTTGTTTTCGTAAATAAACATGAGAAGGGATTACGAACTTACTACACACGTTTTAATGACATTGTTTTTATAAATATTAGGTATTTATTGTTATGACCATTTAACAATGTGTAATTTCGATATTTTTTTTACTATTCGCCATTACGATAAATAATAATTAAGTATGTATTTTTCATACTCTTAGTTCATCTATTATCATATTTTGCGAATCTCTTCTTCATAGGCAGAATACGGAACTTTTTCGGGTCGTCAAGTTTACCTAAAATAACGACACCCTTACAGACAGTGTTAGAGCGAGAACTACTTTTCATTACTCGTGTTAGTTTTACTTAGTTTCAGCCAGAAACCTAATTTAATGCTAGCTATATAGGCTTGTTTTCTGTCATTTAAGATAGCTGGAAGTAAATGTCAGTTGAAGTATAGGTGGCCTTGCGGCAACATCCGGGTACCACGGTTATGTAATGTTCGAGGAACAACGAGCATCACGAGACATACATCGAGGCGGTGGCGGCGGCGGCGGCGAGCTGCGGACGCGGGGTCATCCGTGTGCCCGCGCCCATACCCTCACGTCTCTCAACAAATCACACCGGTTCAACGTGATGCGCTAGTAACGGCTAGTAGAATAGGTGGCCAATAACAAAGATCTCACTATCCAGTGTCCACAATCTTTAAGTGTGGTAAAACATAACATATTCATATTCATATTCATATTCATTTAATCATTTGCAAACATGGGTACATAATATATAGGTGTTAACAAAGTTTATAGTTTCTCCATATTTTGCCTTAACTTGGCATGCAAAGATATGTTATAAAAATAATTACATAATAAAATTAGGTCCATTGAATTGAATTATTTGTAATGTTGTTAGAAATACAATAATGTCAAAGAAACTATAATTATTCATACCACTGAAGTCAAAAAATTAATGTCAAATTAGATATATATTGTAAAAAAGTAAATGTCAATTATATTATAGAATGTCACACAAGCAATGTCAAATAAATTAAATTAATTATTGACCATAAGGATTCCCCTCAAGATAATCTTTGAAAGAATAATGTTGCCTATTTACATTTCGATAACTCTCTTCAAAAATAAGTACCTCGGTTTAAATAAATAATATCTTGAATCTACCGACCATGGCCTATGATTATAGGAATAATGTGTTAGGCATACAGAAAACATATTTTATTAATTAGTTTTTTTTACTGTATCTCATGCAATATAGCGTTCATTGAAACATACGGCTTAGTCACGTCAAGTAATGGAGGAAAGCTCTACCAATTTCAAGTGACATTGGGACTCAAATCGTGAGTAGAGTGCGCTACATGGTGGGGTTGTGAAGCTAACTTGAAACTTGTAAAGCTTTCTTCCATTAGTTCCCGTGAGTAAGCCGTATATTTCAATTTATTTAGTTCGAATCATGAAAGTTATTACACTAAAATAACAGCGTTGTATTTCATTGATACATATTCTTACTTCTGAATAACAATAATATAATCAATGTAATGTATTATAATTCTCTGGGCAGACGATTCAAATCATTATTCTAAATTCTTAAATAGATTTTAAGCTAAAATAGACTGAATAGACTCTTTAACCACTATTTGAATGCGGAAGCAGACAGCAAGGATTTATGTTTTATTAAATTGTATTTGTGTTCCTTGAATCGTCTGTAGTGGTTTTTATTTAAGCTTTATGTTGACCTATCGAAAAAATATATTTCACGTATAATTAGCTAGATACCTATTTTGTAAATGTATCCATTCAAAGTTATATTGCAACATAACTGCGTAGGTACATACATCATGAGAACTTTTTGGTTCGTTTTGAATTATATTTTTATATGCAGTTGAAAATAAATTCTAAATATTGGAAATATCTAGTCAGTCATTTGCACTTTCGTTATCTCACGAAACACAAATGCGTTGCGTAAGATTCTGAAGATTTAACATTTAAACTGCCAATTGCTTATCGATATGCTGTTGTTACGTATATGTTTGACCTGGATGTTAAAGTTAGACCCACTTGGAACCTAACATACGACCTATGTAGTGTGTAGGTAATATGCACCTAAAACTGCAGTTTCCTATTTTTTAACAGTGTTTGTTTATTTTAGCACCAAAACATAACAACGTTTATATATATATATACATATAAAGCGAACAAAGAAACGTGACAAATTTATATAAAAATCTAGATTAAGTAGTTTGCCTAGTTGCTAGGTACGGTTTCAAATCAGGTTCAGCCGGTGTACGAATTTAGTTTTTGCATAATTTATGTGATTTCATCGGGAAATATATATTTTATTCTTAAATAATATTGCGAAATAATACGTTTTATTGCTATTCATTAAATACATTAATATTCCAAGAATATTTATATTTATAACACAATACAGTATCTAATGTAATCAACAATTCCATTTATATAATGTTGCTTTATAATTTTAAGAATAAATTTGACTAATGCTCTATAGAAGTTAGTTCGTAACACAATTACTGAAATCCTTTAGCATTAAAGGACATGAACTTTCCATAGATGCACAGAGGAGAGCATGTAGCGGCTCAGAGTCATAGCCACTGCGTCGTAAGTAGGCGCGCGCGAGTCAAGGATTCTACAAGATATTTCCTTTCACTTGCGACAATGCATAGATATTATGTGTATCTGTACGTATTGGTATGGCGTGCTTGTGCCAACATCACAACATAGCTAGCTGGGGTATTTATAGACTATAAAATAAATATGCGCGTAACATTTTAAGTTGTGAAGGGTACAGGATAAATTCGATCAACAACCAACCACGTCATCATGTCTATTTAAAACTTGTAAAATTTAAGAAAATGGTTAGACTTATGTTTTTGATAACGTCAGTTATAACTAGGATGGCAAACCAACATTTTATTTTCTGTATACACGGCTACAAATACTTACCTAACGCATCGAGCAATTTTATTTATTCAATTTCTGCCGTAAACTTCGTCCTCGTAAACCTTAGGCAGAATTTTATGTTTGTTACAATCAAAAAAAAAAAATGTATATGTAGGTTTTATAGGTCAATAGATCTGAACTTTAAAATAATTTTAAAATTCTTTGTAATCCTTCGGATTTTTCATAATTGATCGTGTGTGATATATGTATTTGATGGACAGACACACTGTTTTATAGTTTTATTATATAGATGTCTATATCCATAGATTGTGGTTTAGTTTACTTCGTAGAATTTCTTGCAGAAAGATAAAATCGAACTTTTAAAGACATACCTACACATTTATTTTTTCCTTATTGTATTAACTCTGTATAGCACTATAGCAGGAAAAATATATCAGCCTATTCTTCATTTTTAGATAAAAACTTGGTACCTATAGCTTTATTGTAATATGTAGGTTTGTTCTGTTATTCTTGTTCTATTAGGAAACCACATGAGTTTTATTTAGTAATTGGTAATGTTTTCTGGAATGTCGTAGAAGTACTGAAACGTTCCTAGCCTCTGATGTAATTATCGTTCCAAGAAGCAGTGACTTATCATTTGTCACTACATAAAAATCGATTGGTGTTTTGCGGCCAAGGTCTTTACAATGAATCAGGATCATGTATATTTCAAATAAAATATTTATGCGTGTTTACACAACATCCAGGCATATTCTGTTTGTAAAGTTTTCATTAAAAGTAGGTAGAATATAGACATTACTAACATTAGTTAGTTATCTGGTACAGGTACGTAGTAACAATTATGTCTATTGGCTAGTTAGCATGACCTACACATTCAAATAGTTTAAGTCCAGATAAATAGAGTTACTGATTAGAGGCGATTGAATCAAATTGATATGTAACCAAATTATTGAAAATTGTTTTTCAGCATAAATGTCATCTCATAATGGGTGTGAACAACAAATGCTGCGGGTGCGAGTGCGTCGTCTTAGAAACACTTTCACTGCTTTCACTGTGACAGGCTGCATTGCGACTCTCCGTGCTGCCATACCTAATGCCACCAGTAATGGCTGCCCCGACTCTCTATTTATTTAGATGCTGTTAACAATACTATTGTTTTCATTGTCCTTATTCTCCACTTCAATAAACATTGCGTGTTGCAAAACAAAATGGAAAGTTATAATGGAGTTGAGGATATGTACCTACATGGTTGGAGGTGATGATGTGCAATGCAAGTAACCGCCCACAGATGTCAGGGGAGATTAACGTGTTGGTGGCGCCCGCCACCTATTGTTCCACTCGCGGCCTGTCACGCACGCATACCATGCTGATGTGTCAAACTTACACAAACAGATGGCATTTTGAAGTGTAGATGTGGTAAGACTATCACAACGTTGTTCAGCCGACACCTCAAAGGATCAGCGAGATTCTCATAACGTGATGTAGCTGCTGGCTGGCACAAAGAGACGAGCAAAGGTCGGGTGATATAAAAACGTGCAAACGTAGATCCGTTTTTTGGTCGATCACTACTAATAACATCCTAGGAATATTAAGTGACGTTACATAGAATACCAAGCTTTTTAAGATTTTGTAATGATTATTCCAAGTTTCTAGAAGTATAATGTAGAAGAGGAGTTCGTCTTGCGATGCAACTAACGGGCGTAAATCAATTGGTCAATACCCCTTTGAAGCGGATTTGCATTTTTTACTGTGGCCACTTGTTTGAAATGTTGTCGGGATACCGAAGTAGGTATTACAAAAACTTTCCAAGAGAGGCTAATGACTTGTGGCCCCAGGTAGGCACTTGTTTAATTTTAGATATTCAACTCGGATGACCCACACCCGAATGATGTACAAGTATACCTACTTATGGTACCTTTATAAATATTTTAGGGATCAATTTGAATCACATTTGTTAAATTATGTATATTTATATCTTTACTGTGAATGTATCGTGTATGTTATGTAGTTTCAAGTTTGATGGAAACTTTTTGTTTGGTAATAAATAAGTATTACCATTTATTTTAATATTTGTGGGTATTATAAAAAAAACGTGTGTTAGTCTTCTAGAACTGTAAAATTAATCTGTATAATAATTTTGAAAACATCACAAATGATGTCTTGGCGCGCAATTAATGCATCACGATACGTTCCAACCGGCGGCGCGGCGGCGCGACGCGTAGCAAGCGTAGCGCGTAGAGCTTTTTACTTACGGGCACGATTCTTCGAGAATATTACGTACGTAATTCAATATACATATGTATCTCTGTAATCTACTACTTCTAGAAACAAAGGATGGAAACTGTTGACGTATTTGAACCTACCTATGTATAGTAATGTACAGCCACACCTACACACATTCGTAGACGTACGACCAGTAAGTAGTACCAGCTCGACACACATTACTTTTATTATAATACTACTCAAGTGCAAGACTAAACTACTTTTCATTCAATAATCAGATTGCAGATATTATTAAACAATACTGAAATATTTTTTGCTATTAAGTATAATACGCCTCAGTTAACGGCAATTGACGTAATAAATGTACAATCAGTTCTATCACCCTATATGTATATGGTAAGGAACGACGATAAGGTTTCTAGTACGAAAATATCACATGGACTCACAAATATCACGTATCTATGAGGAACTCTTAAAAAGTTTGTAATAAATCGATGCCTTTTGACAAATTGTAAGCGAAGCCCTGACGCGGGCACGCCACTTACGACGTACATAGTAGATGTACGTACGTATAGAATACTGCAGTCAGTGACCGTCTCGTGTTTGCGTTTCATACAAGTATTCGTATATATAGAGGTATATAACCAAAAGTCGGAAATTGACATCACTTTTATATACAAATTAGATATACTATAGTGTAGTTTTTTTTATTGAATATCAGTAAACTTTCTATCCATACGTAGGTATGTACGTAGTTAAGTTAGTAACATCAAGTAGATACTCGATATTACTAACTACGCTGCATACAGTTAGTCCTAGACACGAATCGGGTGATGGAAATAAAATAAGTGACTTTTTTAAGAATTTATTTGTACTGTTTAATGTTGGCAGGTAAAGGTATACCTATCGATTTTCTTTTCATTGCAATACGACGATATACTCCCTTTATTAATAAAATAAACCACAAAAAATTTTCAATTTTTTATTTTTTATAAATTTATAAAACAGACTTACATTAGAAAAATCACATAAACTATTAAACAGACCTATTAAATATTTATGTGAGTCTATATTACATACAGTAAGGTAGGTACTTAGGCTACGGACGGGATTATGACCCGGTACATTTGAGAATTACTGGAAAACATAATCGCAGTTGGTCAAAGTTTAGAAAAAGGAAGGTCAATTTTAATTTAATTTGTATTATATAGTATCGACTGCGCCTATGTTATCCATGCAAATCACTCTTTAGATTTTATTATATCAACTACTTAGAGCTCGAGGGCGTGAGATCATGGCTCTAATAGTGGCCGTCACCCGTGGGGTCATTGAGCCAGGGGTAATTGACGGGGCATCTCACGCACGTCTGCAAGTTGATGGTCTCTCCGGGAACCTCCTTGGATGTGAGCTTGCACGAGTGAGGGACCCAGCAAGCGGGGTTGCCCTCTACAGAGCACTTCTCCCTCCAGGGCTCGAAGTTCTTGGCTTCAGTAACAGTGCGGGGGTTTTGGATCCATTGGATTACTTGGGTCATTGTTACGAAGTATACGTCATTGTGGCTAGAAAGAATTTCGTCAATCCAGTACAAGAAAGCTTCTAAAAATTCGGGGTTGTTTCTAAGCCAGGCGGCGTGGAAGTACAGACCCAATGGGGCACGGTTTTGTTCGTAGTGACGGTCAAAGTTGTGGTTAAGGAAGTTGTAGAATTGGTCTCCAGTCAGAATGTTAGAGCAAGAGTCGACCATAGCACAGCCTGGTAGATATTCATCGTTGTTGGGGTCCTCACGACGGTCAAGTTCGTTCATTACCATTTCCCACACAGCGTGGCTCCTAGTGGGGCAACTCTGTAGGTTTCCGTGGCAACGGTGTGGCATTCTGAAGTACATAGTGTAGGGCCATAGAGGTGGGTTGGAAAGGGGAGCAGTGATAGTACTGTCGTACAAGAAGGCTTGTTCTTCCATCATGGTGAACTGATTGTTGCCACCGACACGGAGGTAAGGAGCGCGAACACCCACTACGCTGTTGTCTGTGACGTTAGAGAACTTCTCAATGATGACTCTCATACCAGCCATTTCCTTGCCCCAATCGTCAACCGTAGCGTTGCTCCAGAAGCGTTCGTCGTCATTGTGCCTAAAATATAACATTAATTAGAAAAATAATTGATAGTTTAATGAAATCATTGATGAGATTCTCTGAAAACATTAATGAAGTGTAACTTACGTGATGGAATGTACAGCGATTTCATGACCCTTCCTGTGAGTTTCTTGAACGGCTGAGTAGTTAGTGTATTTGTGCGAAATAAAGTATGTGGCTTTGATATCGCAACCATTAGGGTTTTTACGTTTTCCATTGAAAATCTCTTTGTATAGTTCAATGTTGTTATTGTTGATAGCATCGTCAAAAGTGATGGTGATCATCTGGGGTACGTCTCTGGCGGGCAAGTCACCGGGAATAACCGTGCCGTCTTCAGAACAGAAGCAGTCGGGTAGCACGCACTGCGAGGCATCGCAAGGCGGGGCTCTGTTGGGGTCGTTGTCGATATCTACGACAAACAGAAAACCATTTTTAATATGACTGTGCTAAATCACACAGTTACAACTTAAACAGTGATTTCTAAGTAATTATGAACTTCTAATGAAAAAGTTTCGTGATTTTCTCACGCAAACAATTTGGATGAATGTTATGACATGCCTCGTTAAAAAAATAATTTATTTTTGGCCACACTCCTTTGCAATACTGTGCAATATAGCTATTGTTGGCAAAAACATGATGAGAAGTTTTTATGCTCAGATTACGATGTACTTTGTCATTGAGAGATATTAAGTACAAGTCATGTGCAGCTGCAGAGGCGTATGGATCGGGCGGGGCGAGAGTCGGAACCAGTATGGGTACTTTCGCTTGGTCAAATCACTCGACACAGCTGACACATGTTGGATTTCACTTTTGATTCAGTAACACTATAAGTAGTATATGAACATAGGGGAAGTGAAAAGTATAACATTATTATTAAAATGTTAACTTCTGAGCTGAGAATAATTACTCTATCAGTTGCTTTTCCGTCCAGCAATATAACGTTCATTTACGTTATTATGCACATATATTTAGTTTAAAACGTAAGCTTAAAGTATTATGTCGCACTAACAAACCAGGGTCTTCGTGGTTGGTGAATGGAATTTTGTATCCTTGTCATGTACATAATTATCATTCAAAGTGATTTCAAGTCATATAGCGAAGCGGGGAATTGTATTGTATGAATCACGTTGAAGTGAGACGATGCATACCGACTAGCTCGCCGCTGTTGTGAGAGGTTGAACTTATCTGTGGAGCTTTCTACCTATGTTCACGCATTCCATATATGTTTGCCTAATTTAAATAAAGCCAAACGTTATCATAATTAATTAAATAAACAATCCATTAGTGTTACGACATAACATTGAGATGTTTTTTTAGGCCAAGTGATTGGCATTTCAGGCAGGTCGTTCGTCACGCCTCACAAGTCAGTTCTTATTTGTGAATTTGCCTGTTCAAGTTCATTTGAGTATTTTAATTTTAGATTAGGTCCAACGAGTTGACCAATCGTTTGGATATAGCTATAATTGTATATTGCCCGCGAACGGCGCCAATACTTACCACATGAGTTTTCGTCGGAGCCGTCAGCGCAGTCTTTTTCGCCGTTACAGAAAAGTCCTCGCTCAATACAGGTGGAGTCACCACAAGCCAGGAATCCATCCTGGCACAAGGGCTCTTCGGTGTATAACAAAGGTTTTACTTTACGCTCCTTGTTTTTCAATTTGCAGTTTTTCACAGCGTCTTTCCAGTCACAGGTCTGTTTCTCAATATCGAAGTATAAACCTGCTGGACAACGGATAGCTTGGATGCCCTGTTAGAAAAATAGGCATAGTTAAAACAGTAACTCAGTAAAGTAACTGGAACGAAACTCTTTAATTTTTTAATGTACACGTATTTCAACAACTTGTACTAGTTTCAACGCAAATTCCAAATTATGTTGTAAACGCAAAGAGCTAGATATTTGCTTATCTATATTGTTAGGAGTAACTGTATTGTTAGGAAGAGGCTTGTTGTAGTAGTCTGATGTCTGAAACTGCTACTAGTGACATCCATTTAGTGAGTTAATAGTATTCGATCTCCTTAATCGGGGATCTCAGTTACCTATTGCTCATTGAAATGAAATTTTTATATAACTTATAAACATTTGATCATACAAATAAGTGACACTTGGCCATGAGGGAGTCTTTAATACATGGTAGTTTGTCAGAGACATCCGCGGCGGGTACTGAGCCAACAGAACAATCATAGCAATTGTCGTGATTACGAGCGTGCCGCATAAGCCGGCCGGCGCGCGGCGCGGCTTGTTCTTACATTACCTTGAATGTCGTAAGAACGCAACACTGCCACAACCTACCCGCTGATACGCAATGCTCTGTTGTTTATATTGAGGACAAATTTCTAATGTTTATTGCGCTTCGCATATATTTAATTACGCTGGTTAATTTGTACTCGTATTAAAATTTCAAACTAACTATTAAATAATCAAGTATTCAAAATGGCTGAGCAATATTTTCATAATTGTCGTATGGAAATTTCAATGTGAACCACTTTTCAGCTAGTTCACATTCTTGGTGTTGTTGATCGCAGTAATGCAGCGAACATGTTGTAAGGACATATTTACGAGAGAATGCATGCACTGTAGTTCCTACATACCTATATAGTGTATTTGTGTATAGTACTCACGGAGGCGGTGCACTGGATGACGTCGCGACAGTTGTCGCCCTCGCCGGCCACCAGGCGGAACCATTCGCCGGCGTCCTTGTCCTTGCATAGCTCTACCTCCAAGCTGTCGTCTTTCTTCGGCGCCTCGCGGTCGTCAGCCTGCCGCCGCCATCGGTGCCCATCGGCAACCGCTATACAAACAAACATACAGTCAACATTTTTGAGTAATTGCTCACATCATTTTTTTGTAAAATTACTATCGGCCTAAAAGAAGAAACATAATATGCTTTGATAAATATCGCGATATTCTTCAATACTTATTTTTTTGTGCGAGTGGCACTTAGACAGAATCAATATTGGACTAGCTTAATAACACGTGGTATTATAAATTCACTATTTACAGTTTTTTACATTAGAACCCAAATGCCACTTGGAAGCGTACGACTGTCTAAATGTCAGAGGTGGGGTGAGCGCTCGTGACATTTGACTCGCTTCGAAATGTCAGCGCTTGGGCAAGCGACAAGGACGACTCTTTCTATGTCTTCTGTCTATACTAAATTGTACATTATGCATGGCATTTGATTTGTGTGCCGATTAGGCTGACGAAATTATTATAATTCAGAAAGGTTACGGAATAGTAGATTTCCTTGAATCATCATCGAGTTCCAGGAAATTTAACGATGCGACGTGTCGTTCCTATTGAGAAACTACAACTGTAATAAAGGCCATCGATAGCCACGAAAGTTAAAAATGCTGTAATGCCCAGTTAACAGCATCTACAATATCCTGCCACAGTCGACCATGTCTGTACGGGTTCCCATAAACTCACGTATCTGATATATACTTGTTGTCACTTTTTGTCAATAGTGTACTTCGCTTGGGTAATGTTTGCAAAGGTAACAAGAAAGAAGAATGTATATTGCAGTAAGTGAAGGAGCGCGTGTGAGCCGTGAGCACGTAACACTAGGAAACCGATTCTCGCAACATTATCTAACTATCTCCCTTACACCGAACTGAGCCAATGACTTCGATAGCGCTCACTGTGGTTGTATTCAGACATCACTACAACAAATAAAAGTCATATAGAAACATGTCGATCCTTCCGAATTCACTTGAAACTTCGTATAATAATTTGAGCGTCGAGACTCGATATTCACTCAAAGTGCGCGGTTCATGATTGTTCATAAAGCAAGCTATGTGGGTTAGATGTTGCAGACTGCCAATGCAATCGATAGCTCGATTAATACACGATATGCTCGCGTGTTTACTCATACATAATTATATTATTTTCATTGTTTGGTATAGTAACAGTTTTGCACAACAACCACTACGCTAATGTAACACAGAAGTATCGTCGAATTACAGTTTTTATACGATTTACGTTCGTATTATTACTTTTATTTGCAACGTTAATCTAAAGCCCCACAGCAACTCTATATAATTAGATTTTCTTTGTCATTATAATTAATTATGTCAGATTTCATAATATTACGATTCAAGGTCTCAACTTTTGCTTATATTAATTTAGTAGTCAATCTACATCATTATTTTAAATAAATGGCCCCGATTACACCTATAATCTAAATATTTGCCAAAATATAATGTTATTAAAACCAGTTCTGAAATCTAATTTTAGTTTCAATAGTGATAAAAGTATGCAAACGTGATACCTACCGAAAATTATTATTTGTTCGATTTTAGTAGTAGTAAAAACTAACTTGTTCTCTTTGACCCGGATCTACCACGTGTGCGATTATGACATATCGATAAGTGGTTTGATAAATTAACCCCTGTTTTAAAAGTCTGATTGTTCTAACAGGGGTTTTAACAGTGATTTCGAAAAAGTTTCACTAGTTTCAAATGTTAGCACAATTTGCAGCGCGTTGATGTCTTTTGTATTAGGAATTGCGTATGTGTGTTACTTATTTTTTCTTGCAGTATTTTCTTATTCTAGTGCGATATTTTAATTCAACTTTCAGCGTCTTGTTTATAATAACTATCACATTTATATAAAAAGTCATGTACACATAGAACAAGCTTTTACAATTAATAATGATAAAATGTTTATAAGTAACGGGAATATAGTAGTAGATGCATCCACAGCCACCGTATCCATCGTATCCAGCTGAGACCTTATGGTGTTTTATTTTTTCTTCGTCAAGCTACCAGGCGTTATACCGTTCCTTCAGAATTGACTATTGTATGAATAATAAAGCATGAATGTGGGAACAACTAGGTATGCGAGTAGCTCGGGCGTCGACCGGGCGCGTTGTTGGAATACCAACGGCCGACCTTATGAATATTTAGCACCAGCGCTCGACTTTCCTTCTGCGGCACTCCCTTCAACCGAAGTTAAGTTCTGATAACGGGAGACTGGCGTTTCCGTACGCGGAAGTAAACAGCGCTCACCTTGTCTGCGTCACTCACATGCGCTCGCGACGACCTCTGAGCAGGCGTCGCGATCAATATTCACGTTTCACTTTGTCTTCTCGATGTAATCAATACGAGACATTATGTAAGTCAACGACAATCTCCTCTTTGTCTTCAAATATGCGACTTATTTGTGAGAGTAATGTAGAAAGTCCAAACTACGCAGTGCCTAGGCCTACGTGTCAGAAATACATTAGTGGCAACGTGAACTACTATTACATACTAAGCTTAAACTTGACCGAGGCCGTGATTGCCGACTTGTACATTTCTTCATAAACGTGATGAAATAAATTTACAACATAGACATTTGTTGTCGAATTGCCTCTCATAATATATGTATATATTCAATCAGTTTGCACACGTATGTATATGCACATAATGTGAAATGATTAAGCTCAACGAATGAAATGTATGTTATGTGATAGGCAAATAAATTAAGCAACTCCAACATTCACTTAAACAAATTTTACATAACTATGTAGAGTGGATTGCATATCAGCAGATATTGTAACCTGTCAAAAGAACGATCTACTTTAACAAGTCGTGTTTATAAACCAAAGCTAGTTCTTTTAAACGCTAAGTATATAATGTATTCTATTTTGTGTAAAATAAGCTTTGCATAACCATCGTGAACCATAAAAGCAGCTTACAAAATTAGACATAAGCTAAGTAGTTCATTGAAATGTTAAATGAATCGGCGTGCAGTCGTATTATGTATCGATATTGTTTCGACACAGTGTCGAAGTTGTCGGACCCTGTCTATGTATCTCACGTGGTGGATATGTCGCAACTGAATTGACCTAGAGACCTAAAGATCTGGAAACCTTCCATAAGTAGGTAGCTGATATATCATTATAATTACTTCTCTAGCTTGCTAATCATTCGTTGAGACCATGATCATTATCTTCATTTAATTAAAGATTTTGCCTCCTAAAGTTATCTTAATCACTCCGTGTAATCGTAACAAAACTTAAAGTGTTAATGTAAGTCTAAGATACTATGATTTAGGTCATTCTCTTGTCTTTTAAAATGTTATTGAGTTATAAACACGTTTCCGTTGCCGGACTCAAGGGAACAATAAATAAAAATTATTGACTTCTTCAAAAACTACTAACTGGCACCGCAATAATTTAATAACGATTACAAACGTTCCGGTTCCAATTAATTTTCCAGATAATTATGAAGATTTTTGATATTACCATTTACCTAAATTATCTATGAATACAAATACAAAATAAATTTTATCATCTTTATGTATGCACATGTTATAAATTATATTGTTAAGTATAACATCACGTGAATGGTAAATATTCGAAGATTCAAGGTTGAATGTGATTATTAATTGTTTATTACTGTACATAATTGAAAGGAAGCTATTATTGGTAACGCCCTTGAACACTTGACTTCACGTGAACTGCGCGACTCTATGACATTTAAACTATCGCACCTGAGCACTAAAAATATGTCACGTATGTGTAAACGCAAACAATGGACATCTAAGCTGTCGTGTCTGATTCGTTTAGTCGGTGGTATCACTTTAACGAATATAATTATTATATGATCCCTTAAGAATCTAATACAAATATTTTACTAATGTGATTAAATTTTGTTTCACTTGAATTTCTTAATTTTAATGTCAAATGAAACTGATTACTTTGTTATGCTTATATATATGTTATAATATTTACAGTACAAATCTTATTACACTTTTGAACAGTTATAATGATAGATCAAATCTTGCCAAAAATTGTTCAGTTTTTGCATATTTTACTGACTTCATTTCCATCTATGCGAGTGCACTAAAGCTCTTTGGTATTTAGGACAACAATTTCGTACCTTTTAATGAAATCACCGCGGGAATTAAAACGTGGTAAAGTTTACAGACTCTGATGAAAGTTGTAAAATCTAGATAAGACTATAATTGAATCGAGGACTATAATTGAAACACTACTATACCTACATATATATACTATATTTATCTGTTAAAATATTTGCAAAAGTCAAGCTCATAACATTACTTTAATACTGTATAACATCAAATACAAAAATACTTAGTTTACATTTCAAATGTCACGTCTGTTATCAAGATTTCAACAAAATATTCCATTAGTCGTGACATCCCTGTTTTTTGATTATGTATCTTTTTTTAAAATTGGAACGTACATTAACATAATTACATGAAAAGTTCTACCGACATTTTTTACCACATTTCTTTTGCTAAAATTACTTATAACGTTCATATTTAAATCAAAATTTATGTTGTCCGGGTAGCATATTCATAAGTCGTTCGGCTGAATGTAAATTTCGAGAAATCAATAGGGCTCTTATAACGTCAGCCCGTTGTAGCAGTCTCGCTGCCCTCGACACTATGTAGAGTGTGACGTCACCGGCGCAGGCGTAGCGCAACACGGAACGAATGTGAAAGTTCTCCGCAACCGCAGCTCAGCCGCAACCCGCAGCAGGTGCTACCAATATTTCAACTAAACACGTCCTAATGACAACCTATTTAAATGAAATAATCTCAGATAAATTTTTGCCCTCGTCTGCTAGCATCTGCGTGGACTGCAGTAGAGGTGTTGTTCAAGGACTTCAAACTGATGTATCGAATGCTCAGCGACTGTTATGGAAAGTTTTCAAACTACCTATAACATGTTTTCGTAATATCGAAACGTCTACTAGATAATATATAAATTTTGTTTTGTTTTCACACCACCGACGACAATACATAAGAGACAAATGAAACACGTAAATGAGACGCCGTCAGTGACTATCCTTGAAGGGTTCGAGCCACTGCGTTGATGTCCTTTGGTCGTTCGGTGCAAGGCGATCGCGGTCGGCTGCATTCATTGGTAAACTCTGCGGAGACACAGTCTATCTCGCGATTGTCGAGAACGGGCAACTTCACTGTTCACTAAGTGCGACACTGTATTGACGCAATCACTAAATTATTGGCAGATGTACGGATGTGACGTCGTGTCACCCGTGACGCCGCGAGATGGACGGTGTCTGGATGCGTAAGATAAAGGTTAGGACTCACCGCAGGCGAACAAGAGACACGCGGCCAGAGTAGCGACACGGGCGTAGCGCGCCATGACGGGATCACAACAGGTCGTTGCGCGGCCGTCGTGCGGTTAAATAGTGGCCTCAATCTGCGCCCCGCCCGCCCCGCTCGCCCACTGCGCTCGCACCTCTGCCAACACCCTTCGCACTCATCATCTGTGAATCACCTGCATCATCAGGACTTGCAGCGCATCTGCATACTTGGACCAGTGCTGTACTCGTACGTTACACTTTCGTATTCAGCGATAATGCCTAGATGTCCTTTGTTACGCCAGCCCCATAAAATAAAGCACGTATTATGTAAGTATTATACAATAAATTTTATGAAGAAGATTTAGCGCTTTATGCATCATTTAAGTACAGCTGCATAAACGGATTGCGTTGTTCACTCACACTTTGCTACTTTTGTTGCAGAATTAAGCTTACAAGTATATTGTTGAATTGTATATCAAAGGGTTTAAAATATAAGCAGTATTTTGATTGTTATTTTGACACTATTTTGCAATTTGTTGCAAGGAATTTATTTTACTTAGTCAACAATGATGTTATATATGACTGGTCATCAATAAACTAGCTGAGCGGTGACGTCTCCACACATAGTTCAAACAAATTTTACATCTACGAGCTAAACAAATTTTTTTTTTAAGAAATATTTATAACTTCTGATAGAATAAAGGGTAGTTGTCATTTAAGAATCGAAACAGGAATTTATATATTAATAGTTCTAAATTGATTTCAGTACATGTTGACATTATGTGGGAAACATAAAGTAATAACTAATAAATAAAACGTACCGTTAAATCTAATACAATTTTGGTATCAGTAGTATTCTATTGCTGACGTTCAAAAGTGCCTTCCTGGTCTAATTGAAATAAACGATTTTGACTTTGACTTTGACATGCAAATGAAAAGATTTTATCTTGAGTATAGTAAAACTACATTTATTTTATTTGTATTTTTAAGCTACTGTTATTGTAGATTCTGTAGTGTGTATGAATGAATGTTATAAATAGAAAACTGTTGTTTGGTTTGATATAAATCAAAAGCACTTTGGAAGTTTCAAGGTTGAATACTGAGGCATCTATTTGTTCACCCTTTGGTTATGATAATCCACGAATAAACGATTTATCAATAGCATTGACGCAGCCTTGGTTATATACATGTGCAAGTTTTATGAAGAGAAAAGATATTAAAAAAATATTTGTACGCATTTATAAATATAATTTCAAACTATTTTGGAAGTTTTTCCTAAATGTGAATCGGTCAACATTTATTTTTATTTAAGAGTAATAATTAGAAGATAGCAGTAAAATTCGCATGCTTTAAAAGTATAATGAATGTCTGATAATATTTGAAGTTGATTTTGGGGTGGCAAACTGTACCTAAATATATTTTCTATAGTATAATTTCAAATATTGCTTCTAAATCGAAAAGTCGAATTACTTGGTACTTGTCAGATGTGGAATCTACAGCGCCCGGTTAATACTTTAAAAAGTAAACCACCACCCACGGGCGTTTTATGTTATCTCAGTAGGAACAAACAGTTAGAAAACGAAGAATCTAAGAATCCAACTCTTTCTGATCTCTTTTGAAAGTATTAAATCATTGTGCTCAATGGGTAGTGCAGGAGCAAACTCTTTTTTTACTGTTTCTAATAGTCTCAACGATCACATAGCATTAATATTTAATGACTTTAGAAGGTTAATACACGACATATAATACTTTGGTCACCTTAAAAACTTCAGCATTTTGCGTTATTTCATCTACCAGATGTATTTTAAATGGACGGCATTGTGTAGGTTGTGTATTTGGTTCCTAAATACATCTCTGTGATGGCAAACCAACAGATACAAAATATATGTATCAGACCTTCATACCATCCAAATCATCCAATCCTTACAAACCGGATTGCATTAGTTTGATATGTAGGCCCAATCATCCTCCTCCCCAATCTCCCCAATTCCCGAATCCCCAACAATCATCATAATCCTAATCCTTAAAAGGCCGGTAACGCATTTGTAACACATCTAGTGTTTCGGACGTCCATGAGCGGCACCGATTGCTTACTATCAGGTGATCCGTCTGCTCGTTTACCGGTTTATTCCATAAAAAAACTAACCTAGTCTAAGATCAACAGAATACAAAAAAATGTATTTTCGTAAGTTATAAAAAATTTATGAATAAAATGAAATACGTCATAAGAAGAATCATTTTTATTTTCAAATGCTTTATTTTTAAATACTAGCCGCTGATCGGCTGATCATTTCATTATTAATAGCTTGCACTATAAACAGAAACGTATCAATTCAAAAAAATAGAACTACTTATGCATGTGTGTGTTATTTCAAAATATTTTAATTTAATTTGGTCATAATATTTACATAATTTTGCGTGTAATGAATTGGATGATTTTTATAACACTTATTTTGACTTTTGTATTACCATTATACAAGACAAATACTGGGTAGTGTTTTTATTTTAAACTAAAGAACTTTGGGCACCTCTCTTATTGTTTACACAAAAAGAGGTGGTTATGATTTCCATGCAACAGGAGCGATAATCTGTATTTGATATCGTACCGGGAGTTTAAAAAATCAAAAAACCTAATTGTTGTCTCAATCCAACAATGAAGCTTGCCATATATTGAAAATCCTTAATATTCGCTCTTAATAATACTTAAAAGGAGTGCTCACAATTTCTTTTGTCAAAACAGATAGTTTGAAGTAATCCATAACAGGATGTAAACGAAACGGTTCCGAAACGTAGACAAAAAGAATTTTATTATTAGACTTTAAATCGTTTTTGTTTTCATATTATTCATACAAAATCAGTCACGAGCAATTAATTGATTACAATTATTATTACATGATATAAAATTTCAATTTTTGAAAATAAATCTTATTGTTTTACCATCACCTTTACCATCACCTGTTTTCGTTTTTGGAAGTGTTCCGTTTACACCCTGTATGTATACTAAGTGAATAATCAAATATAGATGTTAATTACCTGGTATTTTGAACATATTTTAAATTGAAATCCCAAGTCAATGGGAATATTAAGAAAACCAACCATTGAAAATAAATAAAAACCCTATGTAAACATTTAAAATCATTGAATATAATGACCTGAACTAAAAAAATCGCAAACAATCCAAAATCAATAAAAAAGTGCAAATGTTAGTGCCACCAAAGCTACCTAACAGAGTAGGTTCATGCAGACTCTGCTGCTGTCAGTCTGCTGCTATTTATGAATAGAAGATAAGATGCTGCTGCATGCGATGAAAGAGCACTTAAGAAATGTAATACTAACACATTAATTTGTTGCAATTTTTTTTTTTTTTATTGGTTTAATGTGGACTTCATTGATTTTTCCAAAACAACTTTAGGTAAATCTCACATAATTATGTTACTTACGTACAGCACATAACAGACAGGCGCATGCTTGACCAGCCTGTCCTGTTGGTACTTGCTATGTACATTTATTCACCCTAAATACATACATATGTACAAGTTTTGCTAAGTTACCATGCACGCATAACTGCCGAGTTGCATACATTTTATTTCTACCTCTTATTTACTTCATAATTATAAGCTCGTCTTCCTAATTTCGATGTTTGCGTTCTTTCGGCGAATAACAGCACGAAATTGATATTAAAATCAATTATTCTAGCAAAGAGTTTTTAAACGGACAATATTTACCGATCAATCTTGTTATTTTTGCCGACCACAAGTAGTGTCTTATCTAACTATATTTGCAAACAACTCGCCATATATTTGCGTAAAGCATTTTAAATCTTACCAGAACCTCAATATTTAGTTTTTATATATATAATGTTTGCTATAAACATTTATGAATTCCATAACAACAATTAAAACTTCTAATAATTTTGTGAGAATTTTTATTTGCGATGTCACAGCTACCAAAGATGGCGCTACTTGCACTGTTCTTAGTAACATCTTGGTGGATCAGTTAGATAATTTAATTAGATAATTATATATCTACCTATGTATATTTTGTTGATTATACTTCAGCACTTCTATTTAGTACCTTATCTTGTCGACTTAGCTGCTAAAATCGACTTATTTTTGACTGTATAACTTATTTAATCTACCGATCATATAATTTATTATACATTATTATGTATTTATAGTTTTCTTTAGGAGAACTAAAAATATATTTTCACAAGTGAGAGCCATCATATTGCATTGAAAATTGGCTGGTAAGCGGAGTGATACCATGACGTCACAGAAAACCGGCATGCAATTTAGCGCAAAATCCCTAATCTAAAATCCTCCGGTGTAGCTAATGTCCATGGGTGGTTTCGATTTTTTACCATCAGCAGATTTGTTCTGTCATCGTTTGCTGCTGAATCTGAAAGCGGAATATAGTAGTTATACAAAGTAAACATTAAATTATTTATGAATACGAGTAATAACGTAAACTAAGCCAACGAATCCGGAAGGCTAGTATTGAGATCATCTGTTATGAAAGGTTAGATTTTTTGACTATTTCAGAGCTAAAATGTCTGCCTTAATATATTTTTTACACTAACTAGTGTATGTACTTGGTTTTTGTTTCTATATAACAGTAGCAGTAACTTGCAAGTCCTAGTTATCAAGTTATTTCAATTTTAAATCGACTCAATTAATATTTATTCAATACCACAGACCGTAAAATCCAATAACAATTTTACCAGACCGAATAATATTGTCAACATATTTGTTTTATAATTTTAATTAGTTATTACTCGTATATAAATCAATGAACACAAATATGTGCCTTCTTGCATAAATAACTGGTACAGTTTTATTAAGTTTATTTTTAATATTTTTTTAATATTAATTAATTATTATTATTCTACTTTGTGTATGTCATGACAACATGTGGATTCCATGCTAAGTTAATGTCAATTGAGAATCAATTTATCATTATCACAACTAAAAATATCTGAGTTCATGGGATGGAATATAATAATATACATATTCTTATCCGTAGTAGTAACTAAAACCTCAGATATCGTCCCTAAGTTCTTTGTACTTAATAGTTTATGTTTCTTTTTGGAACACTGAAGTCCGGCGCGTCTCAGGGACATAAATAACTGATTTAGTTCCCGTAACGAAATAAATTAGAAGATATTATAAGAGGAGAATAAAAAAAACTATAGTTTCCACTTCCTTAAATGAATTACTGCAGTAAACAGAATGAATTAAGTTTGAAGGCACAAAAAGAGGCTGCACAACTGAAAGAAGCCCAGTCGCCAAGTACCATGTTTTGTACCACCAATTTGACTAATGTCTTAATGGGTCCTATGTGTGAATAGTTTGTCTACTTACTGTTTGTAAAAATAGATATAGATTTTTACTTTTTTTATTATTATGTACTCGTTTACACAAACGAACTAAACAAAGAACATCCGATAAAAAATAACGTAACTTAATCGGGCACATCTTTATAGTTACGTAAGATGCGTAACGCTCTGCTGAATAACTAATGCAAAAAATGACCTGTGAAACATTCCGTGAAGTGTTTACATTTATTGTTTATGTTATTACAAACAATTCCGTTTAGACACGCTACAACACTTTATTTTAACGACCCTAGAATATTTTTGTCCGTAAAGTTCACTGTCCAATATGAATTAATCCCAGATTGCGTTGCCACATGCGGTTTTGCTTTGCATTGAGAAGTGGGTGCACTCGAACATAACTTTAAGTTAAATACACAAGACTACTGCCAATATACTAACTGGATTATAACATTGGGTTACCGAACGAGACATTGAAAAGCTGGTTCCAAATACTAGGCCATACAGCTAATCTATTTCGATTCAGTTTATAAATGAACTTGTAATTGTAGATACAACACTTTGTTAGATGTATGTATGTTATTAAAATATGCTGCGTCATTGGTGCTATGGCTGATATTGCGACTGCTGAGCACGAGATCAGGTATTAGTTTCAGCGTGTTCACAATGTAATCTACCTATATCTGCAAACTACAACACATATATTGATTGAATCCTTATAGGTCGATACCTATTACTAGTGCTGACTGATATCAGTACAGCACAGATTTAAGATAAAAGTCTTAAAGCTTGAAAAACAATTAGGATACAATAAACAAACTTGTTTGTAGATATTGCTTTATTTAATAAAATTATAGCCAAGAGAAGTTCAACCTCCAGATTTAGTTTGAGCTAGAACACGTATAAAATTATTAATAGTCACAAATCACAGGAAGTAGGTAATATCACTATAGAGAAAGAAAATAAAATCATCTTTCTACATACACCTAAATACGAATTACAATAATAATATCACCACTGAGATACCTACATTGTACTCTAAATATGTATCTATATGATGACGTCCTGCGAAGACAACTATTTAATTACGCCCTAGTTGATAATTTACACTCTAATACAAAAGTACACAATTAATACTTAGGCTAAGAAGATACTCTAGGCGAATCATGAAAGCACAGTTGTAAAGATGTTACATTATTATATTATTACTAATACGTAAGTAGTACACAATATCTACTCTTATTTGGTTTCATACCGCAACTGACGCGTTCGTCTATTTGAGATTCAAGCGACACTGATACTAACGTCCTAAGTTCCTAACAATCAATATCACAATATAGCTACTTAAATACATAAAGATTCAAAGATGAGGCAACACCAACTATATAAAATTTACTGCAAAAACGGTGTTACATAACTGTGAAACTCGTATTTGCTCATGCAGGTATGATTGTGAATCATTATTTGTTTCTGATTATTGCAATACGCTTATTCATCTATCATAAAAATATGTAAAACCCAAAAAACCAACTTGGTGCTACTAATTAAAGCTATGTAAGGAATACATACAACACAATGATGCAATGGAACAGAGTTAAAACTTAATATGTACCTATATTAGGCACAGATATATCGTGGGAAAACGTTATGTTCGTGGAAACCTTTCTTTAATTAATGGTAGGTCATATGATAATTATCGAGAATGTATAGTAAACTGTGTTCATTGATACCACTTGATTCTTAAATATATCACTAATAGAATATAATTAGTTACGCAGTGTTAAAGCGCTAAATAGACTTAAAAGCCAGTTAGACTACATTTTAACATAAAGGATACCATTTGCTTAACTGGTTCATTTCTGTTCATTGAGTTAACAATTATTCAAACTAAAATTTATAACATTGGGACTTTTCACTACCTGCGTGTCGACGTGAGGTCAGGTTACATGCATATCACATTGTTAAACCTGCAATGTTCCTAGCAGGACAAAATAAAAATCTAACTCATTGTGTTAGGTGACAAATGATAATATTTTAATGACTTTACTGCAATTACCTTTTTCATTCATAACGTAAATGTAATTTTATTGTGAACCCCAATCCGTCCTAACAAATACACATTTTCAGTAAAGTGTATTGCCTTTTTAGGTAACTACTAGATTTTAATGATTTCGGGATTGATAATAATAATTACCCTGAATTATAATTTAAAATTTAATTTATTATTGCTACTCTTCTTATTACGTATTGAACAAACAAGACATGATGTCTTATTGCTTGATCGTGGAACCAATTACTCCAGACCTTAGGGCATCTTTTACCTTTTAAATTAAAAAATATCAACCTGATCAAATCACATTACACCATAATATCTTTTTAAAGTAAACCTCTTAAACAACACCTTAAGCTATTGTTTATTATTTCATTCTAGTTGGAAGTAAAAAGAATGGTAATTTATTTCCAGTTACACATGGATTATTCAATATTATATAGATATGGATAAATGCGATTAGACATGAATGTCACAGGCTTAATCAACATTAATATTAAACTTACGTAACAACCATTAGACAGCACTCACTTTCTCATTATTATCAACCAAAAGATAATGGGCAACTAGCAATTAAAATGCCTCGGTAGTAACATTCAAGCTCTCGGTTCCAAAGAAAAGTTTCGTAGAATTTTAGTACGAGCAGATACTCAATATTTACTCCTGTTATTACACAAAAATAATAAACAGCTAATTTCTGTTTTTGTAGTTCAATGCACGTTAAACGGATATAGATTTTTTTTTTGAAATCAATGATACAATGTAAAATCCATTCCTTACTTAAAGTATATATAGTCTTATAATAATTTATTTGTGTATTTTAACTCATCTGCAACGATTCTTTATCAATCATACGAGCAATTTTGTCTTTTGATCGGCACACCAAAGACAAGAAGGACACTTCAAAAAAGAGATAGTACCTACAAACAACGCTTTGTACTGATTTACCAATCATTATGAAACTACTGAATAACTGTGGCTATGATGTGCTTGGTTTATGACCATGTTGAATAGAAACACTCGCTATATGAATGCATTCACATACATTTATAAAACTACATATTCCAACGAATCCCAACACTGACACAACTCAAAAGGACCAATTATTGGTGCCGAGCAATTAATAGCAAGTTGATAAACAACATGTGGACAACATCACGATCTTTGTGGTGTATTCTGTTTGGAGTTATGTCATTGTTGCCTAACGTGCACAAAGTAATCTTTCATCTATGAATGTAATGTAGTGATTATGTTTAATTGTCTATAGTTTTGTAACATGGAATGCGAGGACAGCGCTTATGCTGGCAGTAGAGGGTGCTCAGCACCGGTGCCGGAGCGCGGCGGGTCACTGCCCTCGGCAGCACCATTGGACAACAGTGCGTCTCTCGCGTCGGGCTCAGGCACCGGCGGCTCCACCTGTAACGCAGTGCGAGATTGTACAATACTTTAAGCATAGTAACAATACGGAACGAGGAAAGGATTAAAAATACTGGCAATCCTGACTATAATGTTTTCAGACCAATTAAATAATATTAAGAACACCGTCATGAATAAGCATACCATATATTTATTTACATAATGATAAGTTAAGGACAATGTAAACAATTAAAAATCATACACATGAATTAAAAGAAGGCGGCATGCAAATATAAAAGATTTTGTTTAGTTGCATCAGATTAGGTCGAAGGTGAATGATCTTAAACGAATAGGTTACTTGTATATGGCGTAAGCTAGACGAGTAAGTAAATAATGTACAAGTGAATAAGTGACTACAAATGGCCGTTATCAAGATGATAAGAGATAAAAAAAAAGTTCCGCAATCAATAATTTCCTCAAAACCTTACAACTAGCATGTACATTAAATGAAATCGTGACATTAGCATATACGGAAGTTCGTTATTAGCAGCTGGTGTGCGGCAGAGATGATGACGCTTGTGAGGAGGGCGGCCTGCCCGTCCAGTGCGACATATAGTAGTCGGCCTGTCCGGGTAGACTGTCCCCCGCGCAGCGATTTTCAAATTCCCCTTCCATAGGTCCTCCAGTGCTAGTGTCCCCAGCAGCACCACGCCTCCGACACTCCATCAACAATCCATAATGAAGGCAAAACTCGCCGTAATTGTGTCATAACATCCGTCGTCGGTTACGTTGTCACAATTGACCGCTATTATGTCTTAGAAATATTTTTACATGAACACATAACATTTACCTCGTGATGTAGAAGTCCATGGTCATACAGTGGGGTCAATGTATTTGGTCAAGTAGGCATTCATGTGATGGAACAGCTGATGATTTGTTTACTTATGAAACTTGTTATGCGTGCACAATGATCCTAACAATTTGACCACATATAAATCTGGTAATCTTAGAAAAATATTAGAGGAATAAATGATTTTTTAAACTGGAAATGGTTACTGTAGGTAACCCAATCCCACAAATAGATGTAAGTATTGCGGAGGTCAGTTTTTTAGATCAAGTGCAGCTCGTTCATATTTGTCAGTGCATGGTGCAATTACCATAAACATTTGGTATCTTATTAGATAGAATGTATTCAATGTTCACATTTGGTAATACTGACAGTGTGTTTGTCCGTCGGGCCGGTGGGCGTGTCGCGCTTGCCCTGCAGGTAGTAGGTCATGAGCTGGCCCTTGCCCTTGACCGCAACCAGCCCGCGCTGTTCGAAGTAATAGCCGAAACTCTGCAGAATCTCGCAAGTCTCTTCCGTAACCTGCGGCAGACGACAGAATTACATCATTATTATTGTCGGTATCAGTGACTTCAATAGACGGTAAGATGCTATTGAACTTTTTATGACTTTAGGAGGAGGTTACAAAATCGTTCATCGTTTATCAGTTCCATTATTTATAACGAAACGACATTAGGTTCGTACCTGAATACATCCCGCTTTGCCTGTACTTTCCATTCGCGAAGCAACGTTGACGGTGTTTCCCCATATGTCGTAGTGCGGCTTGCGCGCGCCGATGACGCCGGCGGTGATGGGTCCGTGGTTGACGCCCATGCGCAGCACGAAATGGTTGAAGGACTGTTCGTTGATCGCAGCTAGAACACGCTGGAGTTCCAGCGCGAATTCGACCAAACAGGCCAGGTGCGCCCAGCGAACTAATACGCCGTCTGACGGCTGCAGTAAAAAAAATTGTAACTCTTGAGGAAGAACCCCTCTGTGGTTTCGTTTTAGTAGAGCTTTACTCAGTATATTCACGTGAGTAACCCGCGATTTTTTAGTTAATTTACTATGTCTCAAGATAGTTATTATAAAAACTCATCAATTCTCCGTATACAAATATATTCTATAAATTGCGTATACTCGCTGAAGTATAAACTCAATATGTAGCAAACAATATTATACGGAACATGACGCATTAATCTCGTTAACACCAGTAGCAATACAAGTTTTACGGAAGAAATTAATGCTTGCGATAAGAAGGTTAAGTATTGACGCTTATAAAAACCTTGTTGCATTCTGTTTTAATCATAGGTTGACTTGATTCAATAGTATGGCAATTCTTGTTACTCATACTAGGCTTCGGCTTATATGTATTACCTTAGGTCTTTTATGCACAAAGTATAATAAATATTGTAATCTCAATTCAAAAGAACACCAAGTACCCTCCCATCTATCTTGATAACGATTTTGTTCCCAAAATTATTTTCAGCTTACCTGCATTTGTCTTGTTGGGTTTAGGCCTGAGGCAGCCATATACGTAGAGCTGATCGTTTTTATTTTGATTATGTCTTTACTGAATTTTGAATCTTCCAATAACTGAAACATAATATGTTTATTATGTTATAATTATAATAATAACCATATTTTTTTTGCAGAAAAAAACACAAAGTGAAAAATCCAAATTCTAATTTAAAAATGCAATGCTATCCTAATTTAAAAATGCCGTAGCAGTCGGCTACAGCGGAGCTACCCCATCGAGTGACTACGCGCTACGACATTGGGCTACGCCGTAGCCGCATTCTTGGGGTAGTTTACGTTGAGTTTATTTATGATCGATACGTAAATAACCATCAACCTAATGAAGTTATTATACCGTGAGCTAACGTTTGAGAACTATTTTTTTTTTTTTGGGACAAGCCCGCCACAACCTCCCAAAACCGCTGCAACTCCTGTAAGCCAGGATCTACAGTAGATACAACCATGAAAACACCGGAACACTGAAGTCCGGCGCGTCCCAGGGACATGAGTAACTGTCTTGGTTCCCGCAACGAAGTGAATCAGAAGATATTATAAGAGGAGAAGAAGAAAAACTATGGTTTTCACTTCCCTCGGTGAATTACTGCAGGAGACAGAATGAATTAAGCCTAAAGGCACAAAGAAGAGACTGTACAACTGGGTGAAGCCCAGTCGCCAAGCACCACGGAAATTTGACTAAAAACTAAGTGGGTCCTATGTGTGAGCTGTTATACTTGCTTCCAATAATAGGTATGGCAAAAACGCCTAAACGCACGGAAATTCGTTTTTATTCGAAATTAATTCGTTTGAGAACTATTGGCAACTCCGTGGTGCTTGGCGACTGGCCTTCACCCAGTTGTACAGTCTCTTCTTTGTGCCTTTAGGCTTAATTCATTCTGTCTCCTGCAGTAATTCACCGAGGGAAGTGAAAACCATAGCTTTTTCTTCCTTCTCCTCTTATAATATCTTCTGATTCACTTCGTTGCGGGAACCAAGACAGTTACTCATGTCCCTGGGACGCGCCGAACAGTGTTCCGGTGTTTTCATGGTTGTATCTACTGTAGATCCTGGCTTACAGGAGTTGCAGCGGTTTTGGGAGGTTGTGGCGGGCTTGTCCCAAAAACAAACTATTGGTAACGTTGCTCGTCAGTTATCTTTTACAATTCGTAAAGTTGAAATACTTCATTTAACATCTGTTGTTTATTACGGTTTTTCCTGTCTTAAGATAGAAGTAATCGTTAGTTTCAAAATCTCGAATGGCAAAACTGTTTATTTTGATTGAAACAATAATTTGAGTCTGCGTTTTGCGTTTTTGGCATGTTTTTTTTCATGCCTTTTATTTATATTTCTTGATTTCCTAAGCCACACAGGTAAAATATGTGATGCCGTTGGTGTATATTTTATGAAATTTTACATAGTAAGTATATTAATCTTTCAGTAGTTATAAATTTTGTATGTTATTTAACTCCATCTTGTAGGAGATAATATGAATTATTTGGTTATAAAGATTATAAATGACATTAGACCTGGTTGGTGATCTTAATACTTGGCAAGTTCCACGTGTGAGGCAACAGATCAAAAGTTACACACATAATGTGTTGGCTCTTGTATTCGAAATATGTAGTAACAGTCTTATACGTGCGGACGCGACACACGGAACTATTATGTGTGTTAGGTGAAATATTTGTAAAACTAACAATTACCTACCAAATCGAAGTCTGATATAACTTCGTTGAGAAACCGTAAACATTCTAGGCCTTGGTTATTAACTGTTTCTTCCGAGTAGAACTCTGTAACAAACAAATTAATATACTTACCACACTTATTGTATTTTCCATAATATTTCATCAAAATCAACATTCATTCATTACCATAAACCATTCTAGTAACTACATGCATAATGAGTTATTGAAATAGAAATATTAATATAAACAAAATAAAAAACCAATAAACGTGTTCATTAATATCTTAAAACAAAAAAAATCAAGGTAAACAACGAGAACGAAGCGACATTTTTATAACAGAGTAGAAGATGCATGTATTAGAAACATGTTACATGACCTTTAAGAATTAGGTATATTATCATAACTGTTAACGATTTCTATTGGAATATGTTTTGATTGATGTGGACAACTTGTTATTTATTTGGATACTAGCGACCCGCCCCGGCTTCGCACGGGTGCAATATCCATGATATAAACCTTCCTTAAGAATCACTCTATCTATTAAAAAAAACCGCATCAAAATCCGTTGCGTAGTTTTAAAGATCTAAGCATACATACGGACATACAGCGAAAGCGACTTTGTTTTATACTATGTATTGATAATAAAAGTTGAAGTGTTCTGGCTATTCGTAGTGGTTGTACCTGAAAAGTTGGGCATGGAAGCGAAGAGCACGCCGACCTCGGCATAGCTCTGGCTGTAGAGGTCGCGGTGGTGGTGGCGCGCGCCCATGAAGTGACGCGCCACGTGCGGCGGCAGCACGTTGTGGATGAGCGCCTGGTTGCGGCGCCGCAGGTCTCCCGCCTGCTCCGCCTGCGCCCGCATGCGCTCCCCGCGCGAGTGGCGTGCGCGCTCCAGAGACTCCACCTGCCCCATACGACATGAACAGCCACAGTTCTAACTACAGGTTGCAGTGCTGTATATCTGCATTGATGTGGTAATACTAAGCAAAACACGCAGGACGGCACCACATAATGTGCAATAGGTATTGTTTAATTTCGAATTGATTTATATTAACTATGTGTTGTGTATGATGAAGGCCCAAGTTGCCTTAAACAAACGAAATAATAACATTCCCCTTTAACTTCGTAAAACATAAGGATCATAAAAGAGAATATGTTTAGTAAAATATTTATTGATGGGTAATTAATTTGTTTCTAGTTAGTACTTGTGTAAAAATAATAGGTACATAAAAATAATACATACATATCTGTTGAAAATAAGCAACGCCACCACTATGAAAAACAGCATTATTATGTTACGTCCACCATGAATGCGAGCCCTGTAAGTTAATACTTTATTTACATTTCTGTGTAATGATGGAAACATCTAAAAGAAATTCACCATGTAGTGAGAGTAAAGATTGTTACGAGCCTCGAGCAAAATGAAACTCCAAACCACTGATAATATCGTATTTATTGCAAAACTAAAATTTCTATAAGAAATCCGATATAAAGGACAAGTGGTAGTAGAGGTTACTACGGGCTTCGCACACGCTAAATCTGCCAGTGCAGTGGTTTGAAGATATATAGAAAGAAATATATACCTAAAATAAAAAAAAAATCTGAATTAAAGTAGTGAGTTTAACTCACAGAATAGCGAGCAGATCTTCATCATAATCAGTAGTAGCGTTGAAGCGGACGCGGTAGGGGTCGCGGTCGAGGCTGGGTCGCGAGAGCAGCAGTGCGGGGTGCAGCAGCGCGGGCACCGCGTGCACGGCCGCCACCAGCGCCAGCAGCACGCTGCGCGCGCACACACCCAGCGGCGACACCCACAGCGCGCCGCACGCCGCGCCCGCGCCCACCTGACACCGGCACACACTCATTTACCTAATTTGTTGACAAGGCAAACTGATGCCTATCTGATAAGTCCATTATGAAACACGAAATCCGAAGAGACATTACTTGACGTCCATTATTGCACACACGACGAAAATACTAATTTGATTTATGATGATGTTTTTGTGTGATGAAATAATATTGTCAACCAATTATGAAAATTAAAGGATACTTTTCGAGTTCATTTGAAAAATTATAAAAGTATTGTCGAAATGTTTAGCTATTAGCTATCATGAAAGTTTTACTAAATTATTATTATGTAATAATTATTATAGTAATTATTCATAAATACTGTAATAACCTAACTATAACCTTCTTATTACTTACCTATATTATAACCTACTTAATGTGTTATACACAAAATGATAATTAATATATATTTGTAATTTATAACTGTGCACGAACGAAAAAGTTTAATTATCGTCAGCTGTTGTCTTCCCACGGTGAGAGATTAAAAAGTCGAACGAGGGAAATAGGTTACTACGATGTTTGTACAAGCGACACCGCGCCGATGAGAAACCTGTCACCAGGTTAACGATTTTATTTTGTTGCATTCATTTACATTTAATCTAAAGAACTTAGGTACATACGTAGGTGTAAGTAACAGTGACTATTTACGACTATATGGTGAGAAAGCTAGGACGTTTGAAAGGTCAACTAAGTTATACAACACATCGCTGAAAATATAAGTAATCTTTTTGATAGATATGTAGATTGTTTACATAATACCTACAGCTACACTCATCTGCTAGCGTTTAGAATGCGAGACTGCTTCTCAGTGCGTGAAATAACGAATATTGACGGCCTCACACCTGACATGGAATTAATATTTGCTATTATTGGTGTGAAGCACCGTAAACTTCTTTGTTGTGTGGTTTATTTACCGCCTAATTATAATGACGATCAATATCTTCGTGTCCTGACCTGTATAGAAAATGCTGTTTTGACATATGCTGGCCTCAATGTTTTAATCTTAGGTGATTTTAATTTAAACTCGTGTACTGTTAATATTAAGACAATTTTTAATTCATTTTGTGACTTCTGTGGACTGCAACAGTTCAATAATGTGTGTAACAAACGTGGTGGCATGTTGGATCTCGTCTTGGGCGATCATAGCCTCGATCAGATATCAGTGT